CTAGGGGTGTGGCATTCACACGATACAATCTCTGGTTCCTTATTGTGCATTAACCAGGACGTTTTTCGCCTTTATAACGACAGGTTTAGTATAAAGGGGAGCCTCGAACATACTACGGGAAAATCTCAGAAACCATTTTTATCGTGAACTGTGCCTTCAAATTCTAATCAAATTGGCCCACCAGTGCTTTGTTGGCACGGAATTACTACAAGTCATTTCACTACTATCTATTCATCGAAGAACTTCATTAGTCCGGTCAAAAGAGATCAAATAGTTGAACAAGGACTTAACCAACTTCTCCGTGCGACAGCCAAGGTCGCCTCACCTCAGAATTCGATTCCGAGGTGTCCAGCAGATCTCGCGATTCCGTAAGTTCACGCAGAGCACGCTCGATTTTCGAGTCGTAGAATTCGGAATGTCTGTAATAATGGGATTATTCGGAAGGTCGATTTATCAATTCCAATTTTATCATTGTACAAGAAGCTCTGCGGAAAAGTCAATCTAGAAGTCATTTTGAAAAGCAAGTGAGCAAGAGAAGAAAGAGTATAACCAGTGGAGGAGTACTAAGTAAGGCGATGAACGTAAAAACTCAGTCACTAGCATTGTGGGGTACTGCGCATTGAATATTTATTTTTCTGTTGATTATTATTATTAATTTTTCCTATTCTCAATAGAAGTATGTAGAGTGCGGAAGTATATCCTCCCCAACACAGGATTGATCAACACCCGCATTGAAACATTACCCTTTTATCCTTCTATTTTTTTTTNTTTTTTTTGAAATACAGCGCAAGGTAGCCGTGATGAACGACAGAAATGAACAAAAGCGCAACAAGCTTCCCATACCTGCCCTGGCCGCAATTCAGCAACCTTCTCTGACTAGACGCTTGACAAGTCTAGAAGTAGGAATGCCGAGTGCCGTATTAGGTTCAAAAGGATTAAATATGGAAACCGCACGACAGGTGAACTCCAGAGCCTCGCGTTATTTCTAGGCGTTACAGATGAAATTTTCTCATTTCCCCTCTTGATTTCGATTTCCCTTTACATGAAATCCAAAAGTTTTTGTGTTTAGGAAATAAAGGTAGTAAAGGAAATAGGGACCACACCTCAGAAGTCGTTCATTAAGGTAGTATAAAACTGATATTTTGTCCCAAGCAACTGTTAAGTTTAATTTGAAGCCAACGTAGAGTTTATAATTCTCCCTGAGGATGGCGGGGAAGATTCAAATTGCTCGAAGCTCTTATTCCTGACCTTTACGATTTGACTGAATCCTTCAACTATCAACTTACACGGTAGAATTCTGCGTTTCGAGGATTTCGACGTCCAGCTGTCGAACGCAGCTCGCCTGAAAATGCGATCACAACTCTTCAATCTATTCAATAATTTCCGTTTTTTAGGAAGAACATCAGATTTACTTTCCAACCGACTTGCTGTAAGATAAGAATGAAATAAGCACTTTGATTAAGTTAAGCCAACAAATCTCTTGGAAAGAAATGAGGGAAAGCGAGGTCGACATGAAGGGACGGATAAGGTTTCAGAAACTGCGTCGATTTTCCAGAAATGAACTGAATATTTGACTCGTATTCGAATGTAAAGAGCTGTGAGAAAGCGTTGACTGTCTTTCATCAAGGAAGAGCAGTGTTCGAAGGCGTCCCCAAACTCGTCCACGTCGTTCAGACCCTATATTCCTTAACAACTACCTATGGCAACTTGAAGGTACTGAGAGTGTTTGAAAGGGCCAAGATCAAGACTTTCAGAGGATCAGGTACACATTCAAAACGCTCTACGTTTCGGTCCACCGTAAAATCCCCTTTCAGCCATCTGAGGGAAGTTAAATGTGCAGCGCACCTGGACCGGCCGATGCCCACACTTTTTCTATTTCCCTCTTAGGTAGCAATTAAAAGCCAGCTGTACTTAGATGGTGCCGATTTTCTGATCAAGCCGGTTTTAATGGAACCGAACCGGAAAATAGTTGTTCTCATCTGTTGAGGGTGCTACCTTTTCCGCTGTCGTAATTGCCCTCCAAGGCAACGTGATTTGTCAATCATGAAAAAAGGTGGGTTTCACAGAAATTTTAAAATGCTTTTGGTTACTCTGCTTCCCAATAGACTCACCTCGCACATTTCATGGTCATCGGCGATGACGACGACGGCATACGCATAGCGTGGTCGCTCCAGAATCAGCTCGGTGGACTCCTCGGCAATGTCGTCGACGAACGACTCGAGCACCGACTTCAATACCATCCCGTCGAAACCCATTTCGCTGGAAAAAGTCGCTTATAGCACAATTAGTTCCACAGGTTTAGGATACGATTTTCGAGTAAATGGAAGCGAAAGGCTTGGAATTATCAGAGATACCACTTGGTTGGAAGTCATAGACCAGAGATTTGTACAGCCAAAGGTTACCAGGAGCAGCATAGCGTTTGGCCGGTTTTTTCAAGGGCATGACATGACGGAGGTGTCCTCAATTACCACGGCGTGGGGGCAAGAGCTCGGATATCGAACGCTACATAACCTACTTGTTACTGCTCGTTACCTACTTTTTCCAATCTTCTGGAAATGAAAGTAAGAAAGGAGTTAAGAAAAGAGAAGTAGGCGCTACAATTCAGACACCTCTCAAAAATTTGCCAGCACTTTTACTACGGCCGAAGTGCTGTTTTCGGATTCATCGCCTGCCGAGAGGGGCTTATGAGCTGTAGGTAATGAGACAGGAAAGAATTTCTGCATGCCCCACACCAATCGAAACGATATCATTAATTTGTTGGGTACACAAAAAAAGCGACGGCACGGGGTTACATAGGTCTCTTCTGCAGTTACATCCCTTACCCTCCCAGGTGAATTTCTCGCTAACTATTTCTGGAGAGTTCAAGGTTCCTGGTGGTTACAGGAGGTTCACCCCAGTTCCCCCACAGTCAATCACAGAGGCGAAAGAATATGGATAATACGTGAAACCGGACAGATCACCCCACAAATGCACGGCTGCAAATGAATGTGGAGAGCAATGGGGAGCGGGTTCAAGCGCTAACGACCATGTTATGGCTAAGCTAATGGCGCAAGATTCTCTGATCGAAGTGATTGCAATTACTGACAAGCTGGTTAGGCGACCTATTCGCCACGATAGAAAAGAACAGACTGGGATGGTCTCGCCGGCTGAATATAAAGCCAGGTGGTGTGACATCCAGCGTTTACTTTGAGGTACGATAACAAAACAGCAAATGCTCGATGGTCCACTAAGTCAAAACGATTCCGGCACGTGAATTATCTAAATAAAACGAGTTATTTGTTATGGAGGTACAGGCGTCTGGGTAACTCTTGGGTTCCCATCTGCCTACAACGAAGGATATACACGATTCGGGAACCATTGTACGGTATGGAACAAGACAACCGGGCTAATATGAATCACATCAGTCGGAATAGACGGGCTAGCAACACCGCTTTCGGATTCCGATACAATTCGTGCATGTTAAGCCAGAATTTCGATGAATACTAAACCCTGGCCCTTTCACCCTCGATTTTGAGGTCCAAAATGATTTTGATAGCCGGAGCATATAGGAAATCAAAACGAGTAAATTCAACTATTTCACTACATAGCACGGAAATCCCGAGCCAAGCGATCATCAGCATTTCTCAAGACATTCCCACACGGTTAAGAATGAGTTCAATGAGCACAAGTAGGGATGCATAAAACACAACTTATA